GTTATTGTCGTTCATAAATGCTCGATTCATAAAGAAAGGGGATGATGAAATTTTGCCATTCGAACAATTCGTTTTCGTTTTAGCAGGCGACGTCGCGTATACCAATTAGGAAAACGGTGAAAAGATCTATCAGATGCAGCGTTCTGTTCCGCTTCAACAGGTTTCGATCGGGGGATGTTTTTATACGTTGATATATTGTCAGAAGAGGGAATTGGACAACTGGCAGCGATTACCTACAGACAACGCCCCTTAGTGTCACTAAGGTTTTTGCTAAATTAATTCCATTTTAGTACTAAAATACTAGCCATAGGGTTTTGAGATTGTAGAGTAATAGAGAGCTTAAAAGGAATGACGGGTTAGGATCTGATTTCCCTATATCTAATTTCGATAATTGTTTAGATATCTATATTTGACTGGTTTAAACGTTGGTATGGTAAATGAAAAAATAAAAATGACATTTTCCAAATTGTAGACAATTGATTTACCGGTTAAAGGGTGTCTAAAATTTTTCAAAAATTCAAAGCTGGAAAACAATATTTTTTTTACTTGTATGCTATTAGATGGTGGTTGCAAAATTGATTGGCTGTGTCGCTACTTATTTACCGATACCTATACATTGAGACACAGGTAGGTCAACTACATGTCCGTCTACCCCTACACGCACTGTTTTTGGAAGCTACTCTTGCTGTGTTACTTTCACATTTTATTTATTGTTTCTTGAATTCGAAGATTTCTGTGTTTCAATAGTTATTGCGTTCTAAATGTAACTTTCTATTTCATCTTGATTTTTAAGTGAATTTTTGCCGTTGCCATGTTGGTTTTATTGCAAAAATAAAATTATGTTCAACGTTTGCCAAAAATCACATTTAATTAGATGATAATAAAAAATCATCTAAAATAGGCATTGCAGTGATATATAAAAAATAGCAAACTCAGCAATTAGTTGCCATAATTAAAATGATTAAATTAATTAAAATGATTAAATTTTAGTGTAGCGAGATCTGATAAGGAAGCTAGTGGTGACCTTTCGACCATAAAAATATTTTAAAATCAATAAAAAGAAAATAAGAAAAAGGGATTTTTTAAAAGAAAACTTAAATGCAAAATTAACTGTCCAAACATTGCTCTCAGTTTCGCAGTAGTCTATTTTAAGTTGTTCTAACGGTAACTTTTCTATTTCCGTACAACTAATTTCTTACAATAGCACAATAATCATAGGTTCAAGACTACGCCTATGGAATACGGCTACGGAATTATCGATTAGTGATGACGATGATGTTACTATTCTAAATCCACACGCACTGGTTCTCGAAGAATATTTGTTGCTGCAGAAAAATTACTATAATACTATATTTTAGTTTAGTTTCACATTTTATTTCTTGTTTCTCTCGTGATCCAAGTTTTCTGTTTTTCAATAGTTACTACGTTCTAAATATAACTTTCTGGTTTCGACTTCATATTGATGTTTAAGTTAGTTTAAATTAAAAATTAAATTAAAAAACTTTGATTGGGAAAATTGCAAAAATACACATATAACTTCTAACGCCTGATTTATCGCCCGGAATTAAATGATGCAAATAATTGGAACTGCAAGGGAACTCTCTTGTTTCGATACATAGAGTATATGTATTATGTACTTGAATTGCCAAGAGACTGGATTTTAAATTTCACAGCAGTCAAAATGATTTTTTGAAAGTATATGACAAACATTCGAAAATTTCGCTTTCCGTGTACGGCATAATGTACCTATTTCTATTCATTGGAACAAGGATTTACCAGCAGTAAAATAAAACACCAATTTAGGTAGAGCAATGAATATCAGGGACAAAGTTCAGCGCGCCCGGCCTTAGGAGGAAGTTTATTAAACGCTGTTCTAAATTAACGGATATTTTCCAATTTGCAGTTCGGAGGAATTACGCTACTTTTCCAAAAGAAGAAGGATTAAATGGAGATAACGAAAACGGCGATGACGCAGTTTAAAGGAATGGAAATGAAAACGAATGGAACTTTCCCTTTTAAAGGAATTTATTGTTTGTGTCTCTCTTCAAAGTACGAATGCCAACAAACGAAACGAAATATCGAAATAAGCGCAATCCCCTGTGGGATATTTTCATATCAAATTTATTGGAACGGGTCTTGAAGTTTGAAGGTAATCTTTTTGCTTGCTCTCTAAACGTAAGAGCCCTTTTAGCCTATATTTGAAATATTCAAAAATAATTTTAATAAACAAACAAATGACTTTCCCCGATTTATGAAAAATAATGGTAAGTCGAGTGAAAGAGACAACAATTCTTATTTCTTATGTTCAAATAAATAGCAGTTTTTGGAGCTATCATACAAAGTGTTTCCGGGATTAGTTCTTACATATTTTTTAAGTTTAAAAAAGATTTTTTTCCTCTAAACTACATGAATGAATATAAACTATATAGAATGTTTTTTTTTTAGTTTTTTATTCAAATATAGTCTTTGCAGTTTTTGAGGTATTGGTTAGTTTAGGTCCATTGATCGTTACGGTCTAATGGAAGACTAATGTTTAGTGGACATACCTCGTTTTGTTTCCACGAACTTTTGGCGGTGCGCCACTGGTAGATTCTGAAATGAATGATACCTGTTTGGTTTTATTTAAAAACTTTATAGTCTCCTGTAATGAATTCCTTATGGAGAAAAAAATTTCAATTCTTTTTATGTGCTCGTTAATATTAACTCCTTTCAACTTTTCAAGAAACATTAACATTAGAATGGAGAAACACTCTAAATATTGATATTTTAACACTTTGCTGTTTATATTATGGCCCATTCTGATATTTCTTAGTTCTATACCTCTCTCATCAAGTTCAGCCCTAGTATGAAATGTGGGAAGATATATTGCCTGGCTATTCAAATTATATTGACGTTTCTCTGTGTGTGTAAAAAGCTTTATCGTGACTTGAAACGACATGGCCTTTGGAATTTTCTTTTTCAACGTATTTCATGGCTGTTAGGAAACGCTCAAACTTTGGGCATATTTAAAAGACGTGAGTTCGTAAGCGTTATGGGTGCACATACACTGCAGCTCCCATATTTTTCATTTTCCGCCGGTAAATCCGATAGCTCTGTTATGTTATGGCCGGGCTTTGTAACGTCGTTTACCTTATCGCTTGTGAGATGTACTTGAGCGTGTCCTTTATCGTGTCTTTGGTGTTTTGTTTGCATGGAACCAAAAATCCTAAAATAGATTTAGATTTGTTTATATAAGGGAGAAGTGACTATGGTTTGCTACCCTTACAATGGTGCGATACAAAAGTGAGGCAAATTTTAGAGTAGAAAAACACAACTAATAATGGGAATTTGTGTCTTCTCTTGTTCATTGTTTAATGACATTGGTTACCGATATAATTCTTACTGAAGTAATTTACATTTGGATAGATAGATAGATTTTTATTTGATTGAATTACAACATATAGTATGTTTACAGCACGTCTAAACACAAAGGAAAAAAAAATATACAACTATATAACATACACATCCATACACACACACACACAAACACATACGATTAGATACTGAACACAACCAAACTTGTAATATTTTTATCTTCTGTTTGTATTCCTCTACAGAGTAAAAACAGAGCTACAAAAAAGATTTTATTTTTGTTTTAAAATTTTTAAATAGCAAGTTTGTGAGTTGATTTAGAATTAACTTGTATAAAATTATGTCAAGAGAATTTTTCATGCTTTTAGTGTATTTAAACTTCCTAGTTCGAAGCAAATTTGAGGACGAAGTGGGGTATTTATGATTATCTGAGTGAACTGAAAACATGTTATTTGAGTTATGAATCACCGTGTGATACATGTATACCAATGGTAGAAGACCTAGCAGGAGTTTGATTTTATGCGCTGCTGTTATAAAAAATATGTGGAGTTCGTCAGGGGATAAATCTTTCGTAAAATTATATTTATATATGCTACAACTCTCCGTATTAATTAATTGCCAAGAATCTTTGCTCTTATTTTTGACTAGCTGTAAATAGTTTGTGTAAGCCAGTTTCCAAGTTTGGTAAATAACTATAATTTTATTTATATATCATACAAATTGATATACTTATAAATTCAAAATATTTTGTCTCTCCTGTCGGTTTAAAAAAATGTATTATTTAGAAAATAACATTATCTATTTTTTTAGTAGGATTGTCTTAATAAACTTAAAAAATATTAAATATACATTTAAACAATATTTGTAATTGAAATAATGGACAGAAATATGCCATACAAATGATAAAATCAAATTTACGATTTTCGGTATTACATGGAAATACTTCATTTACAGAACCATAACATATTTTTTTAAATGACTTCAAGAGACTTTAATATTAATGTTACTTACCCAAATAAAATAAACTTTCCTTTCCGAGTGTATAGAACAAAAGTTGTCCTTGTATCTTATCTCGTTTTCGAGCGACCAAATAAAAATCGACTACCAACATCAGATTTATTCCTCGCCAACAACTTAACTCTCTGTTATAAAACCCGTATTTTGTTCAAGTTTGGTAGATATTTTGAACACTCCATTTTAAACAATATTTAGTGACACCACCATGTCAATATCACCGTTAAAAATGTCAAAATATATCAAAGTCGTTCAAATCAAAATTATTTCTCCCATTATCTGCCATTGCTATTAAAGTGTTGACAAAAGAATAGTAATTACGCAACAAGTGCGGTAAACGGCATTTGACTCACGAATTTATTTGACACGAGCGGAGCAAGTTTTTAAAGGCCGGTCCAGACACTCCGTTTTGCACAACGTTTTGTCTCCGCAGTTCAAGACGTTGCAGACAAAACGTTGCGTGTGGACCGGAAAACTGCGCAGTTTTGAGTCCGTCGGGAGGACTGCACAGTTGCAGCGATAACTGATCTCGTGAGCTCTGAAAACCGTGACCTGCGCAGACATGTCGTTGCGTGTGGACACTTACTCCGTTTTCCAATCCGTTTTGTTCCTCAGTTTTCTCTAATCATCCGACCATGGCAGATCTGCGGCATTGTTCTCGCGAGTTTTTGACGGATTTTATTTCACATTATAAAAGTTTTCCGTGCCTTTGGCGAGTTAAATCTAAAGAGTACAGTGACAGGGACAAAAAGGGGGAAGCGTACGAGAGATTGGTTGAAAAGTTCAAAGAAATAGATGTCAACGCGAGCAGGGAGACAGTGGTGAAGAAAATCAATTCTTTGAGAAGCGTTTATCGCAAAGAATTGGCAAAGGTAAACAAATCGATTCGATCTGGGGCTGGAGAAGACGAAATTTACAAGCCATCTCTGTGGTATTTCGATTTGCTGCATTTTCTCAATGATCAGGAGACACCAAGGCCGTCGAGGAATACCACGGACGAAAGTGAAGAGTCTGTAAACTGCGACGAATCATCACAACTGGTAAGAAAAAAAACAACAAAATTTCCTATTATTACCTAATCGCTTTATTAACTGAAACATATTCTTTTATTTAATAGGTACAATCAGCTTTTACAATGTTTATTACAAGTGTCTACTAAAAAATTACAAGTACCAAATAATTATTTATGTACGCCATTAATTGTTTAAAGTTATAAATCTATCTTGCCAAGGAACAGACCCCTCATTGTTAAAGTACTCCTTGAAATGATCTCTGACCCCGTTAGCATTGTTCAACATGTGGCCTCTTGGTCCACGCTGTAGGTCGTGCACTAATTCTGGGTTACATCTTTCACCTAATTGAACAGTACATTCAGAAATATTTTCCTGATCCATACTTTCTGGAGGGGTGTAGTTTTGGGGGGACTTTCTCCGCAAAAATTTGTGTAAAGCGCAACACGCAAGAACTACAGTATCGACGTTGTGCATCTTTAAATTAATACTTGTGTGGAAAATACGAAATCGGGAAGCCAAAATGCCGAATGTGTTTTCAACAACACGCCTCGCCCTAGATAGGCGGTAATTAAAAATTCTTCGGTCCCTTGTTAATGTTTCTCGTCGATATGGTTTGAGAAGGTCTGGACGCATAGCGAAGGCTTCATCCCCAACAAAAACATATCTTAAAACTCTGTTTGAACTTCCAATGGATCGGGGTTTTGGAATTTTTAACTCGTTGTTAACGAGTTTTTCATAAAATTGAGTGTTATTTATGACTCCTCCATCTGAGATCCGACCGTTTGTTCCTATATCACAATACAAAAACTCGCAATTGGCATTGGCTATTGCCATAAGAACAACACTGTGTGTTTTTTTGTAATTGAAATAATAGGACCCACTTCCTTTAGGTGGCACAATTCTAATATGTTTTCCGTCAATTGACCCTAAACAATGAGGGAACTGCCACATTCTTTCAAACTCCGCTGCAACTTCCATCCACTACTCTTCAGTCTTGGGAAACTGAAACAAAACAAAAAAAGAAGAAATATTGCAAGAGTTTCATCATTGAAAATTTGTAAAAATAATAAAAATATGGAGATCAATAATACATTTATTGTTTAATATTTTCAGGTGGAAGACGATGTGCAAGAAACTGTTATTGACAGTGGGCCCAGTGAAGCTGCTACTACCCCTGCTACTCCTGCTTCCGAAGCATCTACGAGTACTTCCCATTCTGTCAATACCTCGCACAAGTTAACTCGTAACAAGAGGAAGGCTGTTGGGAATGATGATGGCACAATTGAAGTCCTGCAGGTGATAGGGAAGAAACTGGAATCGCTACAGGCAGATGATGCATTTCAGGTATTCGGAAAACATGTGGCTAATAAACTCAGAGAAGTCCCGAATTCACAAAACATAATTGCTCAGAAACTAATTTCCGACGTTTTATTCGAAGCTGAGTTGGGTACGCTTACCAGAAATTTTCGAATTGTTGACATGAAAAGCCAGCGACAAGATGATTTTGGTTCAATGAATGCCACGAATTATTGGCCTCAACAGAATACGCCACATCAAATCAGAATGCAACAAAATCTTTCTTCACAAGTTGGACAATACCACTCCTTCTCGCAGCAGCCGCAGCCTATGCCACATAACTACGCCCCAGAACAAATACCTCACACTCAGGAGTATAAAACAATTGGGAAAATTCCGGCAGTTTCATGCATCATCCCACAGCAAGGTGAACAAGATGTACAGACACGCGCCCACCAAGCCCCTGCCCACTCTCCCGTTGGAACCTACTTGTCATCATTTCAAGCAAACTGAAGTATACTTGCGTGCATTTCTATTGCTTACCATAATAACTTTTCTACAATAATAAAGTTTATAATGTTCAATTAAATAATAAATCGTTTATGGAAAATAACAATATTTCTTACCTTCAAGTAATCCTTCTTCAGCACCTTGTAGATAGCTTCACATGTTTCGGGAATGATTTCACTTAGCGATTGTTTTGATATAATTGTTGTGAACTCCAGGTCTTTGTAACTTCTGCCGGTTGCCAAAAATCTTAAAGTTGCTGTTAGCCTTTCATGTGGTGATATTGCTGCTCTCATACAAGTATTTTCTTTCTTGATATGCGGTGTCACTAATTCCAATAAGTAAATATACGTGTCCATGTCCATTCTCAAGTAGTTTCGCCAATCATTAGGTTCGTCACGTAATTCACTCAATAATCTTATATGGGAAAAGTCCCGCCTTTTTAAAAGCCATTTCCGTGACCATTTTGAACGAACGGTTCCTCTGATGTGTTCCAATCTTTTTTTTTTTTACAATACAGCAGGCGAAAATTGACCACAGGAGAACCTCCTCCATGGCGATATCACACAAAACTGAGCGGAAAATACAAGACTGCACCGTCAAGACTATACCGTCTGGACGCTCAAAGTTGCAACGGTTTCATTCCGTCTTAAAACTGCGCGGATTTAAAACGTTGTGCAAAACGGAGTGTCTGGACCGGCCTTAATAAACGAGTGAGTCAAAAAGTTTACCGAACGTGTTGCATACTATACTTTTTCTACGACCGTTATTTTTTGGGTATATTTTCGCAAAACAACACGAATACATTCACTGACATGACCGTCCAAATTCAAAGCGTTGGAAATATCTCCGAAAACATCTGATTGCTCATAAATCCGTGCGATAAAATCACGAAAATGTCCGAAGTGACTCGGATTTATGGGAAACGAAACTGACGTGGTAAAGTGACGCTTCTCGCACGCTAGATCGGTGGGTAATTAGGTATTTTACAGATGGGAATAGAAAAAAATAATTTCCATTACTACCCAAGTTCTTCTAAATAAAACTTGCACCATGAATTCACTGTCCTTCCTACATAAATTTGGTAAAATAATGCGGACCGTTACTTAAAACCAACTGTAACCATGCAGCGTACTGAAAATGTATTCATAATTAGTAAAAATGTGGCATCGCCGACCCAGCGAGGCAAGAGCGCATGGCTTTCCTTGATCGATGCTTCACATTCCTCCCTGTCACCAAGGACAATTTTGTAACTACGGTTTTGGTGCCAGATCGTCATTCTGTAAAATATAATAATATGTTTTTTTTTATTAATATGGAGATGGTTATTTTTCTTTTTGCCAGGGAGATGAAATGCGAATATAATTAAATTTATCATAGCGCACGATGCGACAGTGAACAATGTGTATAAGATCTGTGATAAGAGAAAAAAGATAACCATATTAAAAAAAACTGTGGATATAGCCGAGAAAATGTTTCAACTCGAACGATGAGAGAGAATTTTGAAACCTTCAGAAATATAAATTTAATTTTTATTTAGCGCAGTGTATTAAAGAAAAACAGTCGTCCTGTTTGCATATTTGTATTATACATATTGTAAAAAATTTCTCTTTACAAGTTTAATATATAAAAGCAACATATTTTAGAACTCTCTTAAATGTGTAAAACGGATCTTAATATTAACGGGATAAGATCACCAGTTAATAGATAAAATAAAACAGTTTTTTAAATAAATGTCAACACTTCGATAACAACAGAATTGAAAGGAACATAAACCTGAAACCAAAAACGCGAAAAGCCAAAACGTCAATATTATATTCGGTTAAAATCATTAAATAAATGCTTCTATTTTAATAAAACTATAACTATTATTATTGCATTCCATTAAATAATTTTTGGTATTTTCCAAATTTTGATATTGTATTTCTTCCAGAAATTGCAAAGGTTCTTTCCTCAAAGTGTGTCTAAATTCCATGTTACGACGCAGTAGGTATAGTTACAATAACGAAATTTACTTGATTGGTTAGTTTTAATTTAATTTTAGTTAATTGTTTTTTAATATTTAATATCCAAATAATAACCAAGAGAACGTATTAACTCTAAATTAAGAAAACTGTGATTACCTACGATATACTGTTTTAGTACCATTCGGGGCACTTTTTTTTCCTAATTTTAGGAAAAATACTTGAGACACTACCATCAGACACAAAATTTGTTGAGTTGTCTACAAGCTTTGTCGAAAAAGGCGAATTTTATACGAGAGCAAAGTATCTTGAAAATATTGACAATTGTCATTCGCATAAAAAAAATTTCTGGATAAATGCTTTATGAAAATTACAAATGAGAATATGAAAAACCTTTATTTTGATAATGAAAAAATAATAAGTTTTATTTTATTTGAATTGGAAACAAAATAATTTGAAATTTATATCAATTTGCTAACTCCTCACTCTTTCCACCATCTTTGTCGAGACGGTCTAGATTCCCTTAATAAATTCTTTATTATATCTTCAATGGTTTCCTGACATGTTGCTGTAATTATCCTTTCCACGTGATATGGGAAAAGGTGTCGTAGACTTTCAGGGATAATACAGAAAAGTTTTCAAATGGATAATATTGAATATCTGCCAATAGAACTTTATAAAAAGAATATATTTTTACATAACTAAGAATGAAAAAAGTTTTCTATATGTTGTCGATTAAATTGGATATATTTTACATATATTTCGATGATATGGTTTTTCTATTATTTAAGTAATTCATTGTTTTGCCTTTGTTCAAACGTAACTTTGAGCGTAGTTCATTCACCATCAACCTTATTAATCTGCACAAATTGTACAACAAAACCACGTCGTCTATCTAACGTTTTATTGTCAGATGGAGTACATCAATTTCGGGAAAACGGCGTCAGTAAAATATCCAATATTAAAATATAAATCGTCCACCAAATATTTCACGTTGTTCGGCATCAACATCGCGGCGGCAGAAGTAGGGCTGCAAAATAAACATTCGCGATTCTGCTTACATTCAAATGACTAAAAAGAAAACATTCGTCCGTTTCGGCGATCCGAAATTGTTCGTTTTCAGTGACTGGGATTAATGTGGCACATGTATTATAAACTGCTCTATAATGTTTGTTTTATTTCGGATTGTGTGAAATCTGATTAAAGAGTGTTTAGCTGTAATTTATCAATTTTCCGTTTCGAGTAAATCTCGCTAGAAAACATTGATTGATCTTAGTTTATTTTTTTCTTCAAAATAATATGACTGATTTATTGATTTCTAATTGACAATCTTCGTACAGCGAAAGATATGAATGAAGATGGAGAGAGAATTTTTATCTTTGAAAAAAGGCACTTTTTAGTAAATTTAAAAGTTACAGTGCCGACAGCTACGCTAGTTTTGGCCCTAGATCACATCACCCTTGCGCGAAGTTCCATTGTTTTCGCATCTTTAGATATTTTTACTAAATGGTAATTTATTATTTCATATTCTCAGAAACATTTTGTTCCCAGTGAGAATATGCACTTTTTCAAAATCATAATATACGGATTATATAATATATAAGAAAGTTTCTCCACTTTATTAAAATTCTTCACAATTGCCCATTTTATTATAAATCTCTATCTCGTGAACTCGGTGTTCTGCCTCCGTTAAAGTTCTCCAAACGATATACCGTTTTTAAGACATAATCCGTTATTCAACTTTGGTAAATTTTTATAAAGGTCTAACTGCAGGCCTACCTCGCTTGGGTTTCTCTTTGTAATCCTCAATATATAGATTCGCAATTCCACAATGACGTTTCAGAACCCTACTTCGGTACTTCGTGCACACAAATGATGAAAACTGATGGATTTGTATAGCGTTCATGAAATGAAAAATCCATTCCATTAAAATGTTTATTTTAAATGTAAATGAATTAGTAAATTTAGCTATAAAACAATTTTATATTATTTATATATATAAAAAAAATATTCTACATCAAAATACTCACTATCGTAACTGGACTCGTCCCCCACAATAATAATTAATTGTGGCACTAGTCTGTAAACATTTTCTTCTACGCATTTTTTCCAACTAGAAGTAGATATTTTTTCTGCTTCACTTCTAATTAATTTTATTGCCCAGAACTAAATTTCGGAAAGGTGTTGTTTCTTCTTAAACTGGGTTTCAGCTGTCCCCATATCAGTTCTATTGGATTAGAATTGCAGTGATATGGTGGAAGACGGACAAAAAAATTGAATTACTTCTTTAGTCGATGACGAATTCGGTAGAGCAGAGTGCAACAAAACGTTATTTACCCAACCAGCTTCAGAGATGTCATGTAGTATGATAATTCTTTTGCCCCGCGAAACTGGCACATCCGAATGAATATTTCCTGCTGTTACCATAAATCCATCCTTGACGGTATCGTGGCTATCGAACCAGATCTCATCTAAATATATAATGGTTTTGTAATAAAAAGCAACTCTTTGTACGAACGCACGCAAAGTCTATTGCCAACAGTTAATGTTCAAAATATTACGCAACTCCTCAAGTAAAGTTCTAATTCAACAAGTTCTAATTCAACAATATTCTTCTGATACGCTTCATACCGCGTTGTTCTTTCTTGGCTACCAATCACAACTATGTCAACCCACACAAATCAACCAATAGCAATCTGGGAAAACATCCATTAAAAATTATTGCACTTCTAGGAAAATATTATATTTATTATGGAAATGAGTTTAAGCTTTTTAATATGATTTTAATATAGGAGATCAAACAATCTAATTGGCAAATTCAACTTGAAATCGATCTACCTCAAGTAGGGACTGTTTTCGGAAGGTTTATAAAAATCATGCTAATATGAATTAACATAACAGTTTAATCAAAGAAAATTTCCCTACTCTTAAAATACAACAGTCCGCACGGCACAATTCTTGTCGGCTAATATTTTAAATACGGCCCTGGCTTGTGGTACAGGTGCT